AGAGAATGAAAAAATAAGCGAGTTAACCAAATTTGAGTTTGATAAATTCTATATAATTGTGTATCGTTGGCATAATTGCTTGAATGTATGAACTTTTTTTTGCTAAACCTCAGAATTAATATATTTCATTCGTATCATCATAGAGGTTTGAGTAGTATCTAATATATTGGCACCGGGGTGCATCACTGTCACCAGAACGTGATACTATTTCAAAACCATAAGATTAGATTCCTGGCAACTCTGCCTATCCCGTTTCACAAAGTTCTACCCAATCCCTTCATTGCAAACCACTCGGGAAGCCAAAAAAGACTTTCGTCACAGTGACTGCTCGGTTTAGGCCAGGGTAAGAACTAAGAGCCAAAAGAACACAGAAGTGAATATCTGAATGAATGAATAAACAAGCCCAAAACATGAAATTTATACTTCTCTTGAGGCACTGGCAAATTTCTTTTCTTTCTGATATGGTGTTTGTTTTGAGCAGTAATTTCGTTGAAGTCGTAACACCTGATTAGCAGTCACTTTGAAAATCGTACGGCAAGATTCTTCATATAATAATAAAGATAATAATAATTAACATGTGTAAAGATACCCGTAATTTTAAACTTAAATATAATGATATTACCAGAAGAAAGATAATCAGATGATTGGGCAACAATAAACTATAATATCCACAGTTATCACTTTATTATCTCACATGTAATATTAAGGAACTTTATTTTTTTCAAAGGACATCTCAATGTAGTAGTCTTACAAAAGATCATTTCAAACAAGTTAATCTATAATATAGACGACTTCAGAAAGTGTCACTTCTTTGTGTGTCAATTCTTCGATTTCTTTAGATAATTCTACATTCTATATACAATAGATATAGTAAATATTCAATACACAATGTAATGATATCTAATACCGTAAAAAAAAAAAAAATTTACCTGTTGCTCTAATAAATGTAGATTATTTTCTAGCTCATGATTTCTTGTTTTTGTTGCTTCGGTCTCCTCAAAAATTTAATAAAATATTAAAATTCAGTAAATGTATTCAATATGTATCTTATCAAGCAAAAAAACTTATGCGGCGCATTAATACATCAATTTCTCTTTCAAGCAAGCATCAGCTTTCTGTGTAATGATTATCGCCAGAATCGTGATCCTTTTTAAGCACGAGATATTTCACATTTAAATTTTTATATTTTTCCTTTAACTCTGTTATCATTTTATTTTTTTTATTAAGGTCATTCACAAGTATTTTAATTTCCTTACGAAGCCTAAGATTTAAATAGAAACTAAATTTTTCAGTAGTTATTTATAACAAATTATTTTATTTAAAATAAACTTACTTTTTAACAAGTGTTGTTACTTTTTCTTTTTCTTCTACAAGAAACAATCAATTGATAAAAAAAGTTAGTAATTGAATAATACAATAGTGTTGCTATTAAGGGCACTCACCAAAAAGTGTGTATTATGCATGGTCACATGTGAAAAGCGATATTAGTACACTAAAGTAATTTTGATCGAAATACAGTTAATAATACGTATCAGCAGCAACTTTATTAACCAAAATATTATTAAGCTGACGAATTTGCTTATCGTTGAATCCATTGATCTCCACTTTTAATAAGCTAATACTATTTCGACATTGGCCGAACTCACCAATATGAGGATTCCCGTTTTTTAATGGTAGGTATTTTTCTTCATCAATCTTTAGCTTATCATTAATTTCATCAAGTTGTTTGAATATATTACTTTTGAAGTGAAGGTATTGTTATCATAATTGTGTTGAATTTGTATCACATTTTGACTATGCCTTATTCCTTGTATCGTTGTAAGGTGGATGTCTTGTAGGTGCTTTTCTAGCTTTTCATACTTTACGAATGAATAGTGACATCCGGAACTAGAACATTTGAATCGATGACCTGGAGTTTTTTTAACACCATAAACTTTTCTAGTTCTTCTTGGAGGAGACATTTTTCAGGACGAAAATTCTCGAATTCTCACAAACAAACAATCGTAACTATTTATAGAAGGGTTAAAACTATGAAGTGTATAAATTTATTATAGTCATTAATGTTAAGTCAACTTAAGTATAATATTAATCGTTATTGTAATTTATTTATTTAAGCAAAATTTGGCACCAATATAAAATATTAATTTTAAAATTTACTTTATTGATATTACTATTTAGGTTTTAAAAATTTTAAAAAATTTTATGTTTTTCAATTATATTCAATAATTTGTACTATAATTTTTTATGTTGCCTGCTGGAATTACAACAAGAACAGGCTTTTTTGCATGTAATCCGGTTTTCATTCTTGAATCGAAATCGTTAAATATACAGTATTGATAAAGTAAACTGTATGAAAATCATGTAATTTCTATAATAAAATTGAACTTTAAATTAGAGTGGCTTTTATGTTGGGCATTAAATTAGTGCCAATTTTGGTTAATCTTTATTGAATTGATATGTATATTGAATTCCAATTATATTTTTTGGACATCACTCAAACAAAAATTTACACAATTTCTATAAGAAAGATTATCACTATTGAATATTCACTGGATTTTATTAATAAATCTATATTTAGTGAATAATGGATCACATCTATATACATGAGATTTCGTCAAAACTTTTGTATGAAGTTCATCCGATTGAAGGTTTGCATTACATTTGAAGTAAAATAACACGCGACGATAGTGAATTAAGAAGTGTGTAATTATTTTGAAAAATAAAACTCATGCAACGAAGTAAAATATCACATATAAAATCTATCGACTTGTAAGGTTGTCATGCTTTATTTAGGTCTTAAAAAATTCTAATTGAGATTAACTAACGATCGAGGATCTTCAAAATTTTGGACTGCATTATATAATTATTTACTAATTTCCAGCTAGAATTAACTTTTTGATTTTTTTTTCATTACAAAAATAAGTCCACATTATGGTAAAATTGTCTAGGAACAATTTTCACTTTATGGCAGCTAAAATTTCATTAGTAAAATTATTGAGTAATTCCGGCCAAAATTTTTAATTCTTGAAAAACCGGTTTATAGTAGTGGTCAAAATCTCATCAAGTCAATTTTGTTAGGATTTGACCCGAGGTAGAATCATGTGACAAATTCTGTCTTCGATTTTAAATTAGGTATTGTTATTATTAAATAGTGACAATATAAATTTTATTAAGTAAAATTTATGAAAATCATGTAATTTCTATAATTGAATTGAACTTTAGTTTTATTTTAAAATATGGCTTGAATACATTCGGAATTACTGAGATAATTACTTAGTCAATTGTCAATGACTCATACGAATTTTTGATCTTTTTTTGGAGTATCACGCAAGCCAAATAAAATTTTACGCGATTTCAACCAGTAAAGATTGTATTAAAAGCACATGATTATGTGATAATATATAGATTAATATTCGGTAAAATCATAAGTTGACTCAGCAACTGAGTCATGATTTGGATACAAAAAATTACACATGATTTGTCAAAATTATAAATTTATCGACTGACTCTTGTGGTAGTTCAAAATTTTGCATTCACCAAAAGAAATACCGTACTTAAATTTTATCTTCGTTTCTTTTCTAATTATAAAATGAATAATAATGTCATTTGAACCAAGGAAATACCCCTTTCTAGCCAATCAAGAAGAAATTTACCATGAATTATATCTAATTTCTTTTCAACAGCAGAGACAGTGCCCGATCCAAAGTGAATCCCTCTCGCCTGTGATCAATTACAAATTAAATTATTTATATTGAATTAAATTGTGATGGATATAATCTTTCACCGGTTTTAATATATGTGTAATATTAATGGTCTCTGCTATTTTTCTTTTCAGTCATACTTAAAAACAAAAATGCGACTCAAAGTAAGAATTATAATTAAAATTTAATGGTGAGAAAGAAACTAATTATTTAATTTTGTATAGCCACAATTATTTCCAAATCTTCTGAAGATTTTTCGAACAGCGAATCACCAACAAATGAACCTGAAGTTTGCAAAGTTAACCTAGAAAAAAGTATAAAAAATATTAATGATGATGTTAGTAAGCGTATAACTAACACTGATCAATATAAGTTTTATATATGGCTTTTTACTCTTTCATTTATACTTAATTTGGTTATTTATTATTTTTATCATAATTTAAAGAAAATTAACTGTTCAACATTTATTAGCTGCCAATACGTAGCAATGCTGTAATACGAAAATTACAAGAGCAGGTTTTTTTAGTATTGTTAATTTTGGTAACTTGATTTATATATACATTAATTTTATCATGCATATAATCCGGGTTTAAATATATAGATAAAGTAAATTGTATAAAAATCATTTAAATTAGAGTGGCTTTTTATGTTAGCATAAATTTGGCTTGGATATATTCGAATCATAATATTAACTTAAAAATCGGTTATAATAAAAAATTCATTTAACATAAATATTGTATAATTCAAAAGAGATCAATTGTCATGACATACGAATATTCGATCTTTTTTTTGGAGCATCACAAAATTTTACGCAATTTCTATCAGAAAAGATTGTATTAAAAGCTACATAACTATATCCCGTATCAAACATATCAGTATCAGATATTACGTGATATATAATTATTATTATCTGATGCGTAGCTTAAGATGTTATAGATTGTCTGGTGTAAATCAATTGCTGACCTTTAATTGGAATACTTTTATATTGATGTCAGATTGGCATAAATCAGGTTTTTGAGATTTTGAAATATATTGTTAAATATATTGTTGTTTATTGTCTTTTATGATATACGCATAATGCATGTAATCCGGTTTTCATTCTTGAAATGGATTCTTTTAAAATCAGTTTATAAATATATGTCTATAATTTTGCATTACACAAAATCGGAATTGAACTTAAAATTAGAGTAGTTTTTATGTTAGTGCTTAAATACATGGCAATAGAATTTCTAAGTTTTCATATATAAAAATTATTTGATATCGATATTGTATAATTCAAAAAAGATCAATTGCTAATTTTTTACAAACATAATATCTTAACTACTTTTATTAGTATAAAGAGCTAGAAAGAAACTAATATTATATGTCTAGCTTACTACTCTTGTGATACACTAGTTTTGTAGCAATGAAAAAACTAGAATTCTTTTGAGTTATAAATTGTATATATATATATATTTTTGCTAGAACATTATTTGAAGTTCTATTGTAATACAAAAATGCAAAAATAATAATAAATTTACTAGTTATATACTTCTTTATTATACAATAATTATCATCTTATTATTGTAAATAATAATGCAACACATAATTTGTAAACATGTATACTTATCTTTACATTAGCAATAATAATAATTATTAAAATTTTAACATTGAAAAAAGTACTATTTATGAGTTAAATAAAAGAATACACCCAGAATTGTATAAAATAGCCAAATATTTTTTTTTGTTACATAGTAAAATTATGTTTATTGTTTTTAATAAAACATTCAAATCAGAATATAAATTAGAATAGCGATAGTAAATGAAGTTTTTAAATATACTGTAAGTTAATTAATGACTTTTAGTATATTTAACTTAGTGGCTGTCAAGGTAACATCGCTCAAAGTTTAAAAAAAAGTTTATTTGAATTGGATTTGAACCGCTATTTATTTTTTTGTAAATGCATGACACAATAAATATAAATTGTAAATTCGTGATATTATATATAAAAATGAATTGTAATGTAAAATTATTCTTTAAATATAATAAGTTAGTATATAGTTCGTATTTTTATTTATGCATAGAAGCCAGCCAACTCCATTAACATTGATCAGTTCAACCTGTTTTCAACAGGTTGAACTATCAGTTTAGAGCTCGGCTTCATTAAATTTTTCCATTGATTGGTAATTTTCTCAATGAAGTATATCAATTGTCAACCCTGCCTTACCCTAACATTAAACTAGCCCTCCAACTTTAATTCAAAAAATCACAATTACTGAATAATACCGATACGTTGTTTTTGATTTTTATAAATCTGACCAATAGAAAATTTATAATTTATTTAACCAATATGGTAAATTAAGTTGTTTTAATTTTTATTACTTGACCAATAGAAAAATTTAAATTTATTTAACCAATACATTGTATATATTATTTATTTGGAATACGGATTGACATATCTCGATGATTTGATTTAATAAAGTTGGTTAACGCACCGGGTTAAAGGCTAGTAGTATTATATAATTTAGAATTTCAAGGAGATATGTAATAAAAATCGACCAGCCGGGTCTGTTTAAAGTTTCATGTTATGAAAACTATTCAATTTGTATGATCTATTAAATATATATTTAATAATTTTTTTTATATCAACACAATTCAATTAAAATAATTTAATTAATAATTATAAGGTCTAATTTACAGAGTTTTTTCACATATTTTTAAAATAAACTATTATATTTTATTTAGTTCACACTCTTTCCAGGGTTTGCAATAATAGAGAACCCAATAAAGAGCATAATCTCTGAGCAACAATTGTTCTCCATTCACCCATTTTTTTTTTAAATAATTTTTTTTATGTTGCAATAAAGATTCTATGCAAATTATTTAGTTTCTTTGAACCTTCTTTATCTTATAACTTTCAATTTTTTTTTTTTGAACTCATATATTTATCCAGAATTAAATTTATTGTAAATAAATATATTTCAAACCTGCATAATCTCTAACAGTAAAATAATCAGATCGGCGATTGTGAATTATCAATGAATCTCTCAATTTCATTAAATTCATTTTGAAAAATCTTAAGATTAGAATTAGGAGATGATATATTAAATTCGATTTTGTTAAGTTTTAAATTCAAAAATAGCAGCATATTATTGAATGGTAAAGAATCCATTATGAATTTTCCTCCTTTAGATCCAAGACAATTAAAGCCAAGATTCAAACGTAAAAGAGTATGATTTTTAGTAATGACCTCCGATAATAATTTCCCACATTCAAAATCTAATTCATTAAAACTTAAATCCAAAACCAACAAAGTATTATTTTCAATCAGATAATCCTTCAATACCATGATTTCCTTTAATCCTAAATAGTTATTTTTAAGAGATAACGAGTTCAACGAAGTATTACTTTTCAAAGACTTTATTAACAAAACAAATCTCTTAATAGAAAAACCAGAACCCCCGATCTTTAATTGAGATAAAGTGGTATTTTTAAATATCACATCAGCAATCAAATGAATACTATTGTCATTATCAATAGAATCATAAATAAAACTTAAACTTTTCATAATTGTATTCGTCTGTAAAGATATCATGTAATCCTTTATAGGTCGAAATCTTAAATAATACCCATTTATCTCTAAAACTCTTAATGATTTGACTTTACACATTTTTGAAATTGACCTAGCAGTTATATTAGACAGGCAGAAATGTAAATACAAATTCTTTAAAGAGTTTTTTCCACAAATAGTTTGAACCAACATTTTATCTGGTGAAGAGACTAATATAATACTCTTCATATTCTTACTTAAGTTTAATAACAAGAGAATTAAAGCTGAACAAAGATCCTCCGGATCATCATCAGACCCAGAAAACCTCTTATACCAACAACCGACTTGACAATAAAAATTATCAGGAATAGAAGTGACATAACTAAGATACTTAAACATGTATTCCTTACGAGTTGGTAATTTAAAAGGAATAAATGACGAACGTTTTTCATCATCAAGATACGAAACGTACATCTCCACAAGAGAATCACATATCTCTAGATCTCTGGCAGGCTCTCTCCAAAGAATCGGTATGACAATCTTACACCAACGTCGATTCACCAAGAGACAAGAGAACAAATCCTTAAAACAATCTTGAAAACTTTCGAATATTAATATAAGGCAGTCATCGGGGATAAAAATCATTTTTTATATAATATCATGAATTAAAAAAAAAAATTTCAATCATCAATGCAATATTTATAAACTAATCAATAAAAAAATAAAAAGAGATATTATATATTTATTAAAAATAAAGAAATTAATAAAAGAAATCATGAGCAATGTTATCGATAAACATCATATGTAAAAATGCTACTAACAATATGAAAAATAGGTGATTCTAAAAAAAAAATATTTTAAAAAAATATTTTTTCAATGGTTCACGGGGTGTAAAAAATTAGAAATTCAATTTATTAATTTTATAAATTTTCTTTACAAGGAATCTCGAAATGATTATAAGTTGGCAAGAAAATGGGAGATACGTAATTCCTTTAATTCGACAGCTGGTACATGGCAGTTTAATATAAGAAGTGCGTGTTTTTTGAAGAAAAAATAAATATGAAAATGAATGTTGTTAATTGACTAGTCTATTCTTATACTAATTTCAACAAAACATTACAGTGTGTAGGTTATATAAAAACAGCTCTTCCAATGAATCTCATAAACTACGTGGGATCTTCTGCACGGCATGTAGAGGAAATTTAATGAAAAATGAATCAACTGTGTGGATACTAAAAACAGAATCAAATTTAAAAAAGAAATAAAAATATCTCGTTAATGAAAATTTGTAATTTTAAGAATTAAAAATCAATATGATTTATTTCTTTATCCATTAAAGTGTAAACAATAATTTTTAAATTCAATAATAATAATACTTAAAAGGTTTCAATTAAATTTAAGTTTATTTATCATATAATAAAATTCTTGTTTGTTTTTCGTGATAGTTAATAAGCTATCAATTTTTATTAACCCTTTTACAAGAGTTTGATAATCTTGTATTGTATTTAATATTTTTGATAAATACAATAATTGTGGATAATTATTAAATTCAAATCCTATTGGCATTCCACAATCATATTTTTGAGATTCTCCTAAAACATATTCATTTCTTTTTTCTAAAGATTTTCCAACTGCAGCCGCTCTTACTTGAATAAGGTTTAATTTTTTAAGTTGTATTCAATTATTTTAATTGATTCTGCAATTTCCATTAATTTTACCTTCTCTTTATTAAGGTTTCCTTTTACTTCACTTGTAGTCAAGATTTATTTTACATTTCTTTAAAATAAAATTAAAAAGTAGGCAGAAATCTGAAGTTAATTAGAATTTGATTGTTTCTGATAAGTGAAATATAAATGAAATTTTTTTAATATATTTTTCAAATAATATGGTGTAGATTCGGTTTTCAATTTGATATTGTTGCTAATAATTTTTAAGGTAATAAACTTTAACCTTTCTAAATTTTGACACCATTTTTATAAAATTTTAAAAATTAGAGAATTTGAGTAGTATATACGTATTAAATTAAACAAATTAATTTAATTTATACAGTATATGGTATATATTAATTTATATTAGGTATTGTGTCTTTCTATTAATAAAGTCAATTAAAAATTTAATTTCTAAAGATAATAAAGTAAAAAAAAATTGTTTTTGAACTGAACAGTTTTTCAAATATAAAAAATTTACAAAATTAAATCAATTTTGAATTAAATGATTACAAAAAATTCTACAGATCACCCATCACTAATCACATCTCATAGGTTGTAAAGAATTTGGGCAGAATTAATTCCATGTAAGTAGAGATGTGACCCGTTATTCACTGAATCTAAATTTATTAATAAAATCCAGTGAATATTTAATAGATTTAAAATTTCGATTCAGTGAATTACGGGTCACATATCTAATACTGTATATAGTTGTTAGATGAAACGATAATTACCTGTCATAAAAATACAAAGACCTAAAAATTTAATCTATGTGACATTTAGCAACACATGGTTTCATCTAACAACTATAACTCTATTATTTACAAGTGTCAATTTCAGAAAAATAGGTCATATCTCTTTTATCATAATACAATTTGAAGGTATACCTCATAGCTATTTCATAAGCACTATGTCTAGTTATAGTTTCGGAGAACACCTTAGCTCTAACATGATAAACAAGAAACGTATTAATTTTTATCTTTATTGTTAAAATGTTATATTACATTTTGCAATTTTTTATAATAAGTATACATTATTGGGCAAAAATTGTTGAATAACAGCAATTTGGCAAATGAGCATGTGCCGCTTTGCGGCACGTGTAGCCAATCATTTGCCAAATTACCGTATTCAACAATTTGCCCAATAATGGTGTTATCTGGCAATTTATGATCATGATTGGTAGGGAGTCGCTTGCTGAGTTTTATTTTTTGAATATTGGAATAACATAATTATATCGTAACACATGAAAAAAATAACAGAAAGAAATTTTTTCATGATCATAAGAGTTTGCCGGATAAAATATATTAAATTTACTGTAAAAGCTGCCTTTAGAGAACAAATATTAGGATATAACTAGTAAAAATATGTATTTGCTTTAGGAACAATATTAGTAAATAACGTCTCGAGCATTATTTTGCGATAACACAGTACAGTTCAGTGAAAAATAAAATCAGATACTAAAATTTAAGCTAAATCAATTCATAGTCGTAAAAATTTGATTTTTTTAATTATTTAACATATTTGATAACCTGGAATACTTCGAATAATTCAAAAAAACATGCGCGCACCATCTCAAGGCCTATACTTTCATACTTATCATTTTTAACTTGCCAGTTGTTGGAGTTGTCCGGAATATAAAATTCATATCTATTAAATGAAGGACCAAATTCTGGATTACAGTAAATTGCGTGGGCAAAATCGGATATAATCCTACCTAATCTCATATCTTTATTATCTTTACTAAATATGAAGCTATCTTTTGTTGATTTGTACGTATAATTACTTGACCAACTTAAAGGGTTATAACCTCCAATAAAACTATCTTTACCTCTCTTTCCAATCACGATTGTAGCACCCATATTATCACAAAAGCTGTGAAATTCCTTAGCTTTGTTTGTAATTTCTCTTAATAATAAATTAAATTTGTATCTGTAATTTGTTGTTTATTCTCTATCAATCCATTGCATTAACTTTATGAGTTGTTCTTTACATATAATATTTGAGTCAATATTTATATTGCCATAACGAATAAAATTTAGCTTAGTTTTTGATTTTGTATAATTATCAGATACCTTTTTAAAAATGCTTTCACTAATTTGGTTTTTTCTAACTTTCATACGTAAGTCTATAAAATCATCATCAGTTATTTGATCGAAACGTATGCAGTTTATTATATTACTGTATTCATCTCAATCCTTGTTTTCTAACCATAAAATTACTTTGTGGAGAATTTGTAGTTCTGTCATATTTAAATTGTCTTGTGATGTAATTAATTTCAAATGTTTAATAGGTATGTTTTGAAAATTTTTGGCTGAAATAAAAAGTCCAGGTTTATTACATATTGTTTTTACTACTGTTTTTACTACTGTTTTTTTCATATCTTTATTGCTTTCAATAAAATCAAGAATTAATTGCAAATCCTCTCTTATTAATTTTTCAATGTTGCATATAAAATATTGTCTTAACTTTTAAGATATGCTTCTATACACATTTCATCAGCAAGCAAAATTGTGTTTATAAATTCTTTAACTCCCTGTAAAATACATTGTTCTCCACAATAAAGATATCTCTGTTCTTTTGGCCAATCTTTGCTATAAACATGTTAATTCTTGTTATTTGTTTTTTTTTTTGCATCATAAATTAATAATCAAATGGCTCAGACATTAAATTTCCAGACTATTAGGTAAAATTTTTTTAATATTGTATGATAATCTTGGTACTTAAAAAATAAAAAAGATAATCTCAATAAATTTTTGCTTCAGCATTTCTAGTCTTTTTACAGTTTTAACCAAGATAAACCATTACGAATTTTATCTATTTAATATTATTCATTAACACAATGACACGATTGTTAAAGACCTTACATGGCTTCTTTTGAAGTATCACTTGTACATTCTTGTTTTAGTTTGGAAGAACCTTTATTATTAGCCAGCAGAATTTTCAAGATGATTCAATTGAGCCTTAATAATGGATATTAAATATTCTAGATGTAGTTTGAAACACCAGGCATAATATCAAATTATTGTAAAATGATAAGGGAAGTATCATTTATCAGCAAATAGTAACGGTAATGATTAGATAAATTTAAATGATTTGAATTTCTTATACGAAGGTGCTTGACAAAAAAAAGCCATGATTGCTAGCATTTTAATTAAAATGATAATGTATAATCATTATAATTCAAATAAAGATCAAATTTATATTAGCTTTATAATATTATTTATCATATTCATTTTAGTGTTAGGTTTCCACTTTTTAATTATTCATCATAGTAAATTCAGGTTTATCATCTTT